ACTAAATGACAAATGATTTAAATAATCTTAAATGATCTTGATCATTTATCATTTGTCATTTAGATCATTTGCGAAATGAAAAATGCTAAATGATTTATAATTATGACAAAGGAATAAACAAATCATTTAAATGGTCAAATGACCAAGTTATTTCTGAATACTGAATTAAATGGGCTTTCTTACTTCCATGTGAGATATTGCATGTTGTGATTTCATTTAATTTAATTGGATTTTTAAAGCGAAAGTATGCGGTTCTATCACCATCTATTAAGATTGCAGCAATTCCAGATGAAGCTACAGGTAATGCAATTTTATCATGTGATCTGATTTTTGCAAGTATAATGTTATTAAAAAATGTTTTACCAGTACCACCTGGTCCATCAACAAAAAACATTCTGATGAATTATGTTCAATTACTTGTATAACAGCATCATATATAGCATACTGTTCTCTATTTAATAAAGGAATATTATTTTGTAATATATTTTTTAATTGTGTAATATTATATAATGATTTTTCTTTCTAAATTAACTGATTTAAATTTTTATTATCATTATTAATATTTGGCATATTTTCTAATAAAAGATGCATATTTGGAAAATCTTTAAGAGAATTTCTATTTAATAGTAAATATTGGTTTAATTGATTTAATACTTTATATTCAATTGTATTATTAACTATTATCTTTTGATGATATTGATATAAAATATCTTCACATAATTCTGATTTGTATTTATTCCATAATCTTTCAGGTGATACTGGTTGACAGTATAAAAGGATTATTGCAAATGGATGATGTAATTGTTGTCCTGTATTTATTCTACTTGCTTCATATAAGCATATATCCTATTCATTATCATTCTGCAGAAAATTTAAATGAATACAGGCTTTTTTAAAGGTTTTACATATATATCTATTAATAGTTTTTAAGTTATTAAAACTGGTTGCACCTTTGATATAACTTAGCAAAATTCGTAAATGGTATCGTGATCAATACAAATTATAAAAAAAAAATAGATTATTATTTTATAATTAAGTTATTTTTTTAAAAAATTATTTATTTAAAAATAAAAATAAAAATAATAAAAAAAATTGTAAAAAAATTTAAAATATAGTTAATATCTAATCTAAATAATATACATGTATAAAAAAAATAATGAAAAAGAAGCGCAAAAAAATTAAAAGTAATTAAAAGTAATGTTATTTTTTTTTCCTTCCTCTTGTTTTTCGTAGTTGTGTTAAAATTTCATTCCTATCATCAGATATATCAAGTTGAGTATCATCTTGTGAATTATAATTGATATTTAAATTAGATGTTGGTGAAGAAGGTTTTTCTTGAGGATCCTTAACTATATTTATTAGAGGTAATGCTAAAGAAGATAGTTTTGGAATTTTATGGGAATGGGATAAATTTGTTGCTTAATTCTTCACTTTTCTCTTATTAAATTTGGCTGAAAGAGACTTAGCTATCTCAGTAGTTGATGGGATAGATTGCATGGTTGATTCTTTTTCTTCTCTCTTTTCCCAAGCATAGCTTAAAGTTTTATTAGGTGATGAGCGAGTGTTTTCAATAAAATTAATTTGTGTAAGTCTGAAAGTAGAAGATCATCAATAAGAGATAGAGATCCAGTAATATATAATGATGATCCACATGAAACCTTGCTTGTAATTAGCAACAAATGACTTTCTTCTGAAAAATGATATAAATCAAATGAAAGAGATTTATTATTTTGGTTGTCAATATATTCT